GGGACGCACTGGAGAGGGGACTGTGGGGGCATACTGCAGGAGATTTACCTAGTGCCCATGCTAAGGAAGGTGTGTTCCCATTGAGACCTGAGGACTGAGTAGGAGTTAGCCAGGTCGAGAAAGAGGAAGAAGCATTCCAAGCTGAGGGAACAGCACTTGCTAAGGCTGAGGGGGAATGAGGGTGTGTAGGAACCGAGAGAAAGCTTGCATGGGAAGCACAGAGGGACGCAGGAGACACGGCCGGGGACTGCCTTCTCTGTGCTGGGGCGCTGTCCCTCCAGCTCTGCCTGCAGGTGCCTCCCCAGCAGCACACGGCCCCTCCCATGCCTCTGCTCACAGGGCCCAAGCAGATGCCAGCTGGGGCAGGGGCTGGGTCTCGTGCTGAAGCTGTGTTTGGTGGGGTGCAGTGAAGAGAGCAGGCCCCATAGCTGGCATCCATGGTGACCAGGGTTGCCCTGCAGGTGTTAACCACCTGGATGTCTGCCCTGTGCCCACAGACCATGCTGGAGCAACTCCTGATCCACCAGCCCAAGGACCCCATCCCCTTCATGATTGAGCACTTGCATCAGAACAACGATCATGGTGAGTACTCGGGCGGGTTTCCTCCTCCAGGGACCTTACCGCGCCCTGGGCACAGCTGGGAACCACCCTGACCTACCTGTGTCTGTAGGGGGTCAGAATGAGGTGGAGAAGGGTTTTGATAACATGGAGTGGTGTTTAATTGAAATTGCCTAATTTCTTTTGGAGCACAACTAATAAAAAATTCTCTTGCCAAGTTATTAAAATGAAAACCTCAGAATGGCCCATGGTATCAATTATTAATGCTTTTGCCTGCCCTAGCTGATGTCGCCTGTTGGGTTTAAGCTCTCTGATCACTCCGCTTGTCAGGTGTAAATTTGGTTTCTCGTCTACCTAGACAGGCAAACACTTGGGTTTTTCTGATGGTCTTGTGATTGGCGCCTGTTAATGAGTTCCAGAGCTCCCCAAACCTCAGCCCGCGTGCAGGTTGGCAGACCCAAGGCCAAAGCACAGAACCGGGGAGGTGGGTGGCACTCAGGCAAAGAAAGCCCCTCACTCCATCCCACAGTTTGTGAAGTGGGGGGTCATTCCCATGCAGTGTGAGCTTCAGGGAGAACTGGCGTCTGGGAGCTTTAATGTTTCTTTCATTGGAGCGGTGGGCACTTAGAAGGAGCTACTGGCACGCCAGTGAAATTAGCACCTGGTGCATCTGAGAAGGAAGAAGACCTGAGATGCCCCGTGGTGGGGTTCAGAAGGCCCAAGGTGAGAAATGCTTCTAAGTAGTTTTTTAAAAGTGAGAGGAGGCTCCAAACACGCAGATGCACCCGGCTCATGGCCCTTTTCCAGTGCCATGCACGCAGGTCCTGGTGCAGTCCCAGGCTTGGCTGTGCAGCTTCAGAATAAGGAGCTTCTTGGGTCCCAATGTCATGACAAAAGCTAAGCAGGAGGCTCAAAGGGAGCCCCAACAGTGCCCTTTTCTGAGCCTCTAGTTAGGCACGAGTGGCCGATTGTCTAGGCATCCCCTTGTTCAGCTGACATTGGCTGAGAGCCTATATAACCCAGGTGGAGAGAGAGCCCTGATGGGGCAGCCCAGGAGAACCTCCTTCTCGAGCTGTTC